TGAATTAGCCATCGAGTACAATCCACCACACCTCGGATTCAAGTTCCCATTATCTGCCAAACTATCACCTGAGGGATAAAAAAAACTTCTTTTAGAAGACTTTGCTGATCGTTGAAGTCGAAGAAGTGTAGTAAATCAAGGTTAAAGCTATCCTTAAAGCTGGCCCTTAGGGAAACAGTGAGGTTGGCTCCTTGAGGGAAAATAAAACTTACTATTTTCCGTAGGGCCATTCATTAAGTGTTTTTATTTACCTTCAAACTTTAAAGAGTCACTGAAAAAATATAAATTTCTTGACTCGGGGTGGCACACAGTTTTGCCGAGGTTTTAAGGTCCCCGACGTGCTCACGTGCGAGTCGAAAGCTCAGGTTATTGTTTCCCTTGGGAATTAGTGAGTTTTGTTCGCCTTAAGGAGTAAGTGACACATAGCATGTGACACGTTCTCCTCCAATAGGAAAACGTATTTGTGTCGGGAGGTGTAACAAAAGAGTCTATCTACATAACATGGCCACCATGCTACTCGTAAGATAAAGTTGATGAAATTTGAATTATGAATAAATAAATGAATAAATTTGAACCAAATCTATTTATTTTTCTCTCTTCTATTTATTTAGCGTAATATTTATCAGACTGGGGTAGTTCAGTTGCAAGCTGGTTTGAATGTGGGCCTGTAAATAGGCCGAAATTATGAGATGAAATTAATTATATTTTAGGGAATTTTTCGCTTACCGACACGAATTTCTATGTTGAAAAGCCTATATCCAACATCTACTCTGTTGACCATGAACACCTCTGATACGTGCTGACTTGATCCCAGATCCCCACGCCACCAGGGATTCGTTGTTTGAGCTGTATGTGTACAACTTGATGAGCTCCAGATACCGTCAGTATTTCCATCCACTGCTCGCACAGGGTAAGCATTAGCATAGTCAGAGGACTGAGATGCTGACTTGCTCAAAGCAAGGTTTACTGATGAAGTACAAGCAAAAGTCACCGACTGTGCTGATAGAAATAAAATTTCAAAGCTCACATGAACCCACTCCTAACAGCTTCGCTAAAGGTAGAACAACTCAAACGTCCATAACCAATAACTTGGATATAGCCTTGATCTCTTTAAATAACGGTCGTGATTAGTCAGTTTCTATTCGCCGGTAATGTTAGGTCCTTCTATTCGGTACTTTTGGTACGTTTGTTATGTAAATGTCGTGAACAAGTCGTTTGTATGGTGCCACTAGTTGTTGGTATCTGCTGAGAGGGGTCTCTACTAAGTTAGTGAACCACCTCTCCCAACTAGATTTACAACACTTGATTGAGACCTCACCCGACTCGGCTCATGACTTCCGCTAAGGTTGTCGAAACCTCAGTCACCACTACCGACAACATCCTTCTACGGCTACTCCCACCCGGACGATCAGACGGCAGACCCAAATACCTACCCTGCTACCTCCCTGCCTCCTGTCTCACCTGCCTACCCTGCTTACCAGCCAACTTCCTTCACACTCTCGCTCTCATACTACCTGCCTATTTAATTATCTATCTCCCTACCAACCTGTATGTCTTTCTTTACCCAACTATTTATCTCACTAATAGAGGTTCTAAAGAAGTTGTGGTGCTGCGTCAGTGGGAGAGT